GAAACTGCCATTGGCTTGAAACCGAAAAACTGAACCGAACCAAAGTTATGATGATTCGGTTTTGGTTATTAAAATCACAAACGAAAACCGAATAAATCGAACCGAACTTCGACAAAACCGAACCGAACCTACCGATGCCCATCCCTACTTGTTATGATACCGGAGGTACTTTGAAACCATTTTCTGGAAAATAATCTTCGGCTTCTCCTCTCGACGGGCGCTCTAGATCTCCAAAATAAAATTCTAAAAAAGAAAAAGAAAAAGAGAAAAGAGAAGAAAAAGGAAGAGCTGAAAAGAGTTAGTAAAGATAGAAAGAGGAGAAGGGCGCAAAGTGCAAAAATAACAAGAAAGGAAACTCACCCTCAGAGCCATCCCAGATATGCCAGTGACAAATCGGCATCCTTAAGCGCTTGAAGAGTCATGTTCTCGGTGGCAGAGCAAAGAGGGGCCAAAGAAGGGACCACGCTCGCCGTGTCAGCCAACAAGTCACAGTCCAAAGGGATGACAATTGAACAAGATGATCCATCCGTTCTCACCTCAACCCGAGTAAACCCTTCGTCAAATATCCTCTCTTTCAGGGCTGACATCGGAGCCAGATTCGTAATCATCTACGATCACTCCTTTCTCCCTCTCCTCGGCCGAGGAGGCAACATCGACCCGCTCTGACGTTGATGGATCACTCCTCGAAATGACCACAGTTGCCTCTGGTCGCTCCCCTTCTTCCACGAAAGTAATCTCCACATTTGACGGGGCACGGTCTCAGCGTCCAAAACCATATCGCCCCCCGGTTCGGCCGTGGTCAACTCGGGATCACCCCCTGCGGGCTCCTCATCCTCGATCGCTGCGCTGTCAACCTCTATCATTCGTCTTTTCAGCTGGGCCTCTTCCTCCTCGCCCTGCGATGACTCATCCACCAAATGAAACACTGAAGAAGCCGGAATCTCCACTGGGGCAGAGGCCTGGCGGCTAGGCCTACGCGAGGCCGGGGGCCGAGAAGGGCAGTCTGAACGGCCTCGCTTGCAGCCGCGTCGTATAGAGGCCCAGTCGAAGCACTTGACTGGCGAAAAACGAGAGTAGGAGCCCTCGACCTCCTCAAAGCCCTCCGGCCTACCAACAAAGAAAGACTTGTGTAAAAAAAACGAAAGCAGAGAAAAGACGGTACAAAGGTCAAAACTATTAAGATCGAAACAACATGACTCACCGGCCGAAGGTTTGTGCCCAAACCTCTCATTGAACTGTGACCACTCACGGATCCCCACCGTGTGAGGCAGAATTTGGCTCACCCAGTAGCGAATGTCGGTGACTAGTGAAGGAGGATCCTTCTCGGCTACATAAAAAAGAAAAGAGGGAGAACGATTAGATCACCAAAGAGAAACAACAAACAACCAGTTAGGGGAAACACTTACGAGAAAAGTTCCACTCTTCGGGAAACCCGTTAGGGTTTGACACCACGTGCTCCGTCCTCACGTAGAAGAAATTGACCCAAAAATAGCGATTTGTTTTATCATCCATCTTCACCACCAGTCCTTTGGTCCCTCGATGGCAAAGGTGTATCATCATACCCCTGTGAAAACTTGGGGCGAAGAGGTGAAGTAGATGATGGAGAGAAATCCCACGGTTGGCTAGCTTCGCATACTTGATAAGCATAAGGAAAATCTTATAGATGTACGGGGAGATCTGAGCTGGACACACGCCATAATAGCGGCAGAAGTCCTCCGCCAAGGAAGGAAGAGGAAGCGTGTAGCCGATGACAAACGGATACGCGCAGAATGCGCAGTATCCTAGGCGATATATCTGCACCACATCGTTACCGGCAGGGATAAGTTCGACATGGTCTGGAATTCGCCATTTAGCCCTAAATGCAACAAGCGCCGCCGCATATATCTCAGAAACGACGGGTTCAGGATCATCTCCAGGTCGCTTCGAGAAGTCCAACCTAATCCGCCTGAACGAGGAACTATTTCATCCGCGCCGGGGAAACTCTCATCTTCTACAATGGCCACTCCTTCTTCATGAGAAGGCATGTCCACTGTCAACGGGACAGGATCAGAAGCTCCCTCAAGGTTAGAAGATGCACTAGCCATTTTTCTGTCACGTATATAAAAAGAAAGTGCAAATGTGAAAGGGACAACAATAGCAGAAACGCTAAGAGAATGGAGAGACAAAGATGCAAGAATTCTGAAAAGAAGAAGGGGAAGCTTGGAGTTTTGAATGCTTAAGAAATGCAGCAGCTGAAATGAGGAATCCCATCCCTATTTATAAGAATACTGGCACCCTAATCGAGAAAGCCAAACGCCGCCACATCGAAGATTGAAACGGAAGAGGCACGGGAAATGACGTAACGTATTGGGAACATGCGCTATAATGATACATGATGAAGTGATGTCATTTCAAACTGACGTTCAAACTGACGTAACGGCCAGAGTAGCTCTTAAAGCGCCACATCGTCACCTCGCCATAAAAAGGTTACTCCTCGGCCAGCCTGCCCAGATTTCTCAAATTGCAACTGGCGAAGTCCGCCCATCGAGCTCGTCCAAAAAATAACCTCGACGGGCGGAGGGACTAACTGTATGGGTCAAAATCTGACCAAGGGAATCTTGCCTAAGAGAGGATTACTAAGAGCCGATTAGGCTGAGGTCGTGCTCAAGATGGAAGGAACCCATTGGCAAGTTGAGTAGCTAGGGACGAGGTCGAGTACTCAGATCAACCCAAATGGCTAATTTAGTAGTAAGATATTTAAGGGAAATATTCCACAGAATATTCTCTGCACTTGTACTTTCAGTTAGGTGAGGGACATATCCCATATAAGTGGGAATAGAGAGAGAAGGAGGAGGAGGTAATATTCTATATGATAAGTTCTCTTATGAAAAGTTGACTCTTAAATTGCGAACATTGTCTTTACAAAAAGATTCAATTTGTTGTTGATCCCACACTTTCTCGCATCAGATCCGAGAAAGCTTTCTATATTCCCACGTTTGTTTGTCTTACATCATTGTCAGAAGGAGAATCATCCACCTCATTGAATATTTGGGTGAATCATTCTTTCTATTTACATTTTTAAATACCCCTTTGCATTAAATTGGTTTAAGTGCAATTATATGTTGTTCATATCAAGGACTTATTATGTTTAACTAGGATTTACCCATTTTTTTTATTAATTAATATAACAAAAAGGCTTATCACTTTTTGGTCAAACAATTATCATATAGGAAGTCAAAGGATTTAATTTTCCCAAGAAGGGAAGTCCCCACAAAAAAATTGAGATAAAACAAAAGAGGAAAATCTCCTAATCACAATAATTATATAGTTTAGACATTTTTCTAATCACATTAGCTTAAAGAATTCCATACAAAGTTCCTTTCATCTCTTTACCCATTTTTGTTTCCATCTTGCGAAGCTACACCTATGGCAAATTCCATATAAAATTCATGATAATGAAAGCCCCATTTTTGGTGATTTTTGGAAATGAAAAGAATTTTTATGATATTTACACATGAAGAAAAATATTTTCCTACATATGATGTTTACATCAAATCAATAGATATATAATATGTATCTTTATACATATATTTTTATAACTAATATAATTAATTATTACTAGTATACACTGTATTTTATCATGGGTTATCACTTATTTATAATTAACTATATGATTTATTGTAAAATTTAATGATTACATCAACAACAACAAACCCCATGAGCTACCACTGTTTGACCAGAAAGTATTAACTTTCGATTAAACTATTATATCTTATGTAATAAAGGGTTAAACCTAGTTAATGATAATATCTCTAGATATAGATCTTGAAAGCATGGATAACATCAGACTGAGTTAGTGAGAGATTGAAAATAACACATATATTTAATATTCTAAAAGGTATGAGCAGTAATGGAGGGGTAACTAGCAATAAGTAACAATAAATGGCATTTAAGTAAATAGGAGGAGTTGATTCACTCAATAATGAATAAATTAGATGATTGTTCCTCCTGACAATGATGAGTGACGGACAAATCCTAGAATGTTCGAACTATTCTTGGATCTGATGGAAAAGTATGGAATAATGTGAGTGAGAATATTGATGAAAAGGTCAAGTTTGTATCTTTGCTAGAGAGAGAATCTTCTTTTGAAAAGTGTTCTTCTCAAGTGAACATAACATGCCTTACACCATTGTCTCTTTTTCTATTTATATGAGACAGGTCCCTAACAAATCCTAATAGTACAAGTGCAGATTCTCTTTAATATCCTATTTCAAAAACTAGTTGCTATTGTTTTATCTACCGTACTCGACCTCGGTTATTAATTGACAGCTTGACCACGAATCTCGCTGTTTCCTGGTTGACCTCGACTGACTCTTTCCTTAATATTATTTTGCCCCAAATATTCTAGGGTAGATTTTGACCCATACAACCACAAGTGGGGTTTGGGAGGGGTAGTGTGTACGCAGACCTTACCTATCCTAGGAGGACAGATAGAGGCGGAGCCAGGATTTGAAGTTTACGGGTTTTGAATTTGTCATAGAACCCATAACTCGTCTTAGTTACTGGGTTCGCAATTAAATATTTATACATATTTAATGAATTTTGTAGTACAAATATAGTGTTTAAGCAAAAGTGATTGGGTTCGGCCGAACCCACACCTTATAGGCTAGCTCTGCCTCTGTGGACATAGAGGCTGTTTTCGATAGACCCTCGGCTAAAAGGGCTATAAAATCTAATGATCAACTTTTTAAAATCCTTGTGTACTTCTTAAAAAACTAATAAGTTTGACTCAAAACCAACTCATCAGTTTCAGTATTAACTACCCATTTTTTCTGTTATTTTTTCAGTTATTTAAACGGTTAGTTCTTTGTGTAATTAAAAATATCACAAGAACGCGCCAGAAAACTTAGCAGCATCAGAATCTGTTACCCATCCTCATCTCTAAACTACTATATACATATAGCAACAAGAGAGAAGAATCAAAGAGAGACAGAGGGAAAAAAAGAAGAAGCTGATTAAAGATGGAAAATCCTGGTTCAAGTAAAGCAGGACTGCAGCAATACACATACAATGTAGCTGAACAATTAGATGGTGGCAATGATGATCATACTGATGATAATTACATGCAGATATTATACGAAAAAGAAATCGCCAACCCTATACTCAATGATCAAGAAGCTTTAAACATTATCAATGAGAATTGGATTCAAGAATTTCGCACTGCTGCAATCCACTACATTCTCAGAGTTAGTAATCAAAAACCCCATTAATTAATTTCTTTATTATCACAACTTATTTTATTTTGATGCAGACAGGGGAAAGATTTCAGTTTAGAATCCACACAGTTTACACAGCAGTGATATATCTTGATAGGTTTCTTGCTACACGGACAATAATTGTAAGTGAATTAAGATTCCTCTGAAAATGGTAGTATTATTGATTGTTTTATTTTCTGATTTTTTTTATTTGCTATAATCTTGTTTGTAGAGGGGACAAAACTGGTCAATAAGGGTAATAGCAGCAGCTTGTTTATCAATGGCTGCAAAAATGGATGAAAGCAGAGACACATTGCCATCATTATCAGAATATCCTATGGAAAATTTTGAATTAAATAACAACCCAATTAATGCCATACGAATGATGGAAGATTTGATTTTAGATGTCCTTAAATGGAATATGTGGTGTGTCACTCCTTTTGCTTTCACAATATTTTATTTTTAATCAACATTCTGCAGAGAAGATTCAAGAAAAGATTATATTAGAGCCAAAACTATGGAGATCATAATGAGTGTACTTAGAGGTAATGAGCTTCTTTAATTTTTCCTGTTCAATTGGTAGATTAATTATAGTTATTTAAGAGTTACTACTAAGCAGGCGTTTGGACATAAAAATTGTAATTTTTGAACGAAAAAAGAGTAGTATTTGGAGTTAAGTTGAAAAATGGTATTTGGACTTTAAAATTATGTTTAGATATGTATTTCACTTGAAAATAATTGCAGTTTTGTGAGTGGGGAAAAAGTCTTTTTCTGAAAATTTTGAAAAAGTAGTCAAAACCACTTTTTGGTTTTTGAAAAACTCAGTTTCGAAATTTTTTCAAAAACTTGCAAAATCTCATGGACAACACATTTTTTTTTAAGAAAAGAATTTTCTTTATGGACAAACAGGGCCTAAAGTTTTGCGTAATTCATTGTGCAGATGTGAGGTTAATGAATTACAGACCATCTGTAATAGCAGCAGCTGCAACATTATTAGCACTAAACCAAAACTTGACCATGGAAGAGCTTGTGATAAAAGCCTTGCTTCTAAATGGAGCTGCATTTCTTCAAATTGTGAGTCTTATTTTTAATTAATTTTTTTTCATATTCTCCTCCGGACTATATATGTTATTTATATATATAATCTAATAATGTAATTGCTGTTTGATTCAGGATAATGTGTGTTACTGCTACTATAAATTGCTAGAGCTGAACAAGAACACAACCTCAGATGAAGAAATAAAGAATTTTTCTCAAATCAGATTGTAATTAGCTTCTTTTTGTTAAACACTAGATTGAATATGAGCAATATCTGTTGAGTGGATGGGGTAATGACTTTTGTCTTAACATATTCTAGTGTGTACGTCCTATATTTTTCTAATTCATTCAATTAAGTTTATATAATTGGAGTAGTTAGCTGAGGATATAAGTGTTATCAGAATGTCAGGGGTTGGAACTCCTAATTTCTTAAAGGTTTATCCTCAAAGGTATGTCCATTCGCATCTTAGGAATTAGGTTGGTCGTCTAAGAAAAAATAATATATAAACATAAAATTCTACACCAGTAATAAAGGTTTGGTTAGCCACACAACAGAAAATAATCTTCGTATGACTAAATGCAGCATTACAAAGTTTATTATTTATTGCATGAACAATCTCTATATCTCATTCTTTGACTGCGTTATTCATTTGATGGTGGATTGAATGATCGACTGTTTTGTTGTTTCCTTATGCTCTTTGGCTTGGGGTTCAATGCAGTAAAAAACTCACAGATTATTAGAGCAAAACCAATCCATCTCGACTTACTTTTTCAGGAATTTTTTGAATTATTGTTGTGAGCTTTGGGATCTCTGTTTGTTACCCTACCAATATGGTGATTGTAAAATGGAATAGCGGAACATTATATTTGTTTATCAATGAATGCACCTAATCGATCCGGGTAAAATAGGGCAAATGCACGATGAAATGTAGTTACATTCATTTCATTTTCCTCTTTGCTTATCGATATTCTCAAATTCTTTGTTTGTTTATTAGTAGTATATTTGTTTTAACCTTTGAATTTAGTTTTAAACACAAGTAAGCCAACATCATTTCGTAATCCTTTCTTGTTGTTAGCTTCTCCCTTTACATCACAAGTCCTACCTTGGACTGTTGGACTAGCCTTTTTCAAACTGCCAAGGCTGCCACTATACTTTTTTTTTTTTTTTTTTTTTTTATGGATTTCATGGTGTTTTAAACACTGAAATCATTTTTCGTTAATATTACTAATTTCAACTCAATCTTTATTCTTTTAACTAGAAATCATAACACAGCTGATGTGTAGAATTGTCGATAGCACAACTATCAACGTCTGTCCAAATTTTTACAGTTTGACCTAAACAAACACATGCACATAATTCACATACCAGTAGCTAGGGGTGTACAAAGAAAACCGACAAACTGAACCAACCCGATAATCCGAGTCAAATCGAGAAAAAAAATCCGACTATGGTTCGGTTTGATTTGATTTGGTGTTGGAAAAAAAACCCGACCATAATTGGTTTGGTTTGGTTTTAACTAAAGAAAATCAAACCGAACCAATCCGACAATACATATATAGAAATTTTAGATATATTTAATACATAAATATACTTATTGTGATGTAATTTATAAATATTTCTCAAACTTTTTCATAATTTTATCTTTTAATGTATTATTTCAAGGTTGGACTTAGAACTTTTGAATGTTCCAATAAATTTTATAGCCAATAATATTAGTAACCAAATAATGTTAACAAAAGTCCAAACCACAATCAAATCACTAATGCTAACAAAAGACATTCAATTTAATACTAGGAGTGACAATGTATTGAATATCTATTTTTTGTTTTGCAATGATTTAGATAAAAATGCATACCCTATTTTTATTTTTCTTTAGCGTTTAGTCATGTAACTAATATTCCCTTATTACTCTACTTATTTTAGCATGATTTAGTACTTTTAGATTATGTTTATTTTTATTATGACTTTTTAATTAGCAATATTTATATTACGTGATTTTATTGTCTTTATTGTTGAATATTTTAGGATATTGACATGACACATCTCATATTTATATTATTTTCTTTTGTGTCTTACTAAGATTAAAGAAATATTTGGAACACAAGTTATATGTTTTGTGATACGAAGATTTTACCGGAGAAAAAACCGAAAAAACCCGAATAACCCGAAAACCCGACATTGAAAAACCCGAGTTATTGGTTTAGTTTGGTCTTTAGATTTAATAACCCGACACAATTGGTTTGGTTTGGTAATTGCAAAACCCGAACTAACCCGACCTATGTACACCCCTACCGGTAGCTAATCGAAAGGTCAAGCATTTACTGCAAAAATAGTGGACCATAAGATGCTTGCTATACAGACTTCAGAGTGAGATGTAGATCGGAAAATCGCTCGACAGAGGTCCTAAACCATCGTTAGATGAAAACGTTGCGATAATGACAAGGTAGTAACTTCAGTTACCTCAAAACAACGATGGAAAGATCTAGTAATGGTTGAAATAAGTTAATGGAGTGCAAACAAAAAGAGAATAAAGGATATGATTGATCCAAAATATTGATATAATGATGCAATGAAACAAAACCAACCAGAAGCATACCATATCAGGTGTCATTACAACCATGACATGTTCAAAAGACGTTATACTTGACAAGTCATTGATTCAAAATTCCCCTTGAGGTGTACAAGAGAGAGCCCATCGTCCGGTATCATCAACACCGTTTTTCCAAATGCTATAAGAAGCTCTCGGAAATTGATTAAATTGACCAACTCTCGCTTTTAGGTTATGATCTCCAACCTTCAAGTCTCCGTGCTGTGAAACTTTTGATCGATAGCAGCTTAACATTTGAGTCTATGCCCTTGAGTGATGTTCAAGCAAGTTGTCACTTACTAGTTCCTCCAACTTGAGTTCAGGTTGATCCTACTGGGATCATCTTGATGGCAGCAGCAATCGGCATGCCAAGAAATCCAATTGCAACACTTGTAAACCACTGGTGCCATGTAAGTGGACAAGTGCTTGCAAAGGTACCAAGGAATTCAACAATAATGATTTGGAATAGAACTGTACAGCCGAGGACGCTGACGAAAACATAGTTGTTCAATATACCATTGAAGACATTTATCTTTTCCATATCTCGAGAGCTAATCTCATTGAACACCTGCAAGAAAACGCAAAGGTAACACTTGAGTTTACTAGTGGATTTGAGTAAAGTTCTAATAAATAGCAGAAGTTCCACGCTTCTAGCAAACTGTTTATAAACCTCCGCAATCGATTTAAATGTGGAATTGAGATGACATACTTTTTTCCATGTAGCAGAAACATTAATAACTACTAATACTTAGAAAACTTTCATGATTACTCGCAGTGATCTATCTGTGTCTTGAACTCAATTTACAAATATCCATTAACATCAACAAAATGTGAATCTAATCAAGAATTAGAAAAACATGACAATATAAATTTTTGCTAATAATGCATTAGAAAGTCGTGAAAGATTATATATTGAAAAGGAAAATTGGAAAATTACCTGACAGAATACAAATGAGTTGAAAATGAGAGTGTTAAGAATCAAGTCGGCATCTGAGCCATCAAGATGAAAGAGAGCTTTGCCTGAAGTCTGAAGATACCATATGACTACAAATTGGTAAAGAGATTGTCCCAAAATGTTCCTCCACATGACATTGCTAATGAAGTTCCCCTTCCTTCCTACAGGGGATCGCTTCATCAAGTCACCATTAGGAGGTTCAGTAGCTAGCGCAAGAGCTCCCAGTGTGTCCATTATCATGTTAACCCATAGAAGCTGAACGGCAGTAAGCGGAGCATTCCCTGAAAATGCATAGAAGATACATCTCAAAATCACACCTTTAGGGGAAAATGTGTTAAAAGTAGTAAAAATTACTTCCCGCGTTTCAATCATATTTATGTAGCATTTAAATATGTAAATTGTATTTCAAAAAGATTGAAAATTCCATGTCAAATTCAACCGAAAAGTACTCTGAAAAAGTTAACATAAACTGAAATGGAGGGAGTAATTTTCTTAGGTCAAGATACGCTACCTGTCAAACATGCTGAAGAAAAGTTGACAATCAAGGCAACAACATTTACTGTCAGCTGAAATTGAACGAACTTTTGAATATTCACATAAACTGAGCGCCCCCATTTGGCCACAGTCACAATTGTTGAGAAATTATCATCTAAAATTATGACATCGGCACTCTCTTTAGCTACCTGGAACAGAAAGCCAGACAACATGATGACTACAGGCAGATAAATGAACATTAAATAACCACATAATTTTTCCACTATGTCCTACCACACGAAGCAAGATGATATAACTAATCACTTTCACCTCTAAGCCAAATTGTAGAGGGAACATACTATGTAAGGGCACTTCAAATCTTTGAGCAGGAAAATGGGAGGTTTAACAAGTTGCTGAATGACAATTTGCAGCTTCTATAAATGCTAGACGGATAGCAGCTCTTTAGTATTAGTAGAAGAATCATAGGATTCTAAATCATGGAGTTCTTGGTTTAACGGTACAACTGCCAAATCTAATTACAAAGATTTCCTTATCAAAAATAAAATCTAATTACAAAGTTTAAATAGCTAAAAGGAAGCTGAACTAATACACCTCAAGAGAGAAGTCATTCAGGAAAAGCCCACCAACAGCACTTTTGAGGTTATACATATTCAACATCATTGATTAACAAAATAATAATCATATCTATACTCATTACAGCACTGTATAACAGAATCTATATAATTTACGATCTTTGGCCAGGAATTTAAAGATAAATTGAAATGTCTTAATTGTATCGAGAAAAGCCTTAATAGGAGAGCTAGTGCAATTAAAGCTAAGTTGCTTATGGCATTACAGAAGGAAGATCTAAAAAAAGAGAAGTCCATGAGCTCTTGGCAGATAAAAGAAAGTGGAGCCATGCCAAAACTTCTTATTTTGTGGTAGAGTAAATTCTTTGTGAAGAAACAATAGGTTGGTGAAAAAAAGATCAAGATTTCCGTAGCAATAAAGGGAAAATAAATCCATACGCATGCAGCAGGAAAAAAGAATGTAGATCCATATCAAAACTTCTTATTTTGCGTACAGTAAATTCTTTGTATAGGAACATTAGGTTGGCGAACAGAAAAGGGTCACGACTATCTTGGGCCAAAAGGCACACAACTAATACATCTTTTCTAATAAGAGTGAAGGCGAATCACATTAAGAAACTTCCT